TAATATATATTCTATATATATTAATATAAAAATCTTAATAGGTAGCTATTGCATGCCTATCAGCCACAAATGTTATTTTAATAAATGAAATCACATAATGATGTTGTCTGTCGTCTCACGTCCACTTTTTCTAAATATCAATTGGTTCATCACAGTATTATTCTTGCTTTGTGATACAATACTAGTGAAAAAGAAACAGAAATGTACTAAGACGATTTACAAATCAAATTTGCATTTTGTGACTAACTAAATTTTGCGATGAGTTCTTCCCCTCAAGCTCAATTTACCAAATTTAAGTATCATCTACACTCCTTCATCTTTTACCATGTGAAAGATGACCCAGATATCATCCAATTTTCTTCTAAGCAATTATCCTCTTGAAGAAAGTCAGAATATGCAATATGTCAACAAATCCTCAATAGGAGGCTTCATTCTAACAAAGGTAGAGGATGATGGTAATGGAAACAAACCTTAGATCATGGAGCTACTGTCATGGTTTCAGATTACTAATGTAAATGCTTTGAATATAACTATAACATACCTCTGTTTCTTGAGTGCTGTCTTCCTCAGGAACACTTACATCTAAATTAATTTCAAATTTTACTCCTCCCTAAAGAAAATTCACACACTTCATTAATCTATTAAATAAAAAAATCAATTAAATGTACACAGTTTATACGGAACTACAAACTTGAAAAATATTCTTCTGTTGAAAATAACTTTTATTTTACAGTATTTTTCTTCTATTTAACGAGATCAAAGTTGAACAAATTGGACAAAAATAGACTTCTCTAAATATAGTTTATGGATATTTTGAAATTATTGCATCCACTTTTGATTTTAAGGAAAGGTGTCTTTGATAATCATTTAATTCAAATCCTTGCAATACACAGAGTTGGTTCTTACAGCTGGTTCTCAACCAGTATTAAAATTTGAATACTGTACTGCTTCCGTGCAGTATTTCACAAAAGACCTTTAGTCCACATCACAGTGATCTTATGGTCAGAAACCTTCCTGATATCTTATGTGCATTTCCATTCAATTCCCATCCCCTTCTACAATTTAAAAAGCACTATAGAGAATAATGTTTTATAACAATGTTAAAAAATTAGCAGCCTGACTTGACTTCACTTAAACTCTAAGTAATGAGTTCCCATACACTACTAATGCAGTTTGATACAAAGATGAGTAAGTAGGGATTGATTACTATCTGGGAATATCTAAAGGGAGTCTCCCTCAAATTATCAGAAAAGCTCGTTTATTTTCTTAGTGATTCTATCTTCTGATAGAAACTTTTAACAAACAGTAGACCAGCACTCTTAATTGACTCTCAAATAACTTATTTCCAGAGCTACCATGATAAGACAATCATTTGAAATGTACAGACATAAGCAGAAAATGGAAAAAAATACAACAGTAAGGATGGATACCTTTGTGGTATGTTTCTTTTCTAAGGTTCTTTGGTCTTGCCTGTCCTGGAGTCTGACTTGTTTAAAGTTTTCTTCCATGTCCTGGAAGAAGAAAAACCCACAACTTTAAAATACACTCTTTGGAACCAGAATATACCCTGTAGAAAAAGACTTAAGTAGTAAATGTAGTCACTGGTACAATTTCCTTGTATATATATCTGTAAGAATATTCAATTCGTTGCCTTACTTAGACTCTAATACTAAAAGACATTATAATTCTGGCTTATCTGGCAAAAAGAAACACAGGAAACCTTGTTTGCATAAAATGCAAACCTCTGATTTTTCAAAAACCTATGTTTGGAGGATACAATACTGTGTCAAGAAATAAATAATACATCTTTTATTTTTTTATGGTCATATACAAGATAAGTCAGGCTGATTTTATTCTGGAAAACTTTGGAAGTGATGAAAATCAAGATTATAATGGAAACCTCTGCCTGTAGAAAGTATAGCCATATTTCATAGCATCTTGTTTTCTGGTAACACCTAAAAAATATTTAATTACTCCTTTTCATATTCCTATGTTACAACCTGTCAGATAAAAGCAAATTAAATAATTGTATGTGGCTCCTTTAGTGACCTGCTGCAATTAGGGCACATCCTCAACCTCAGGTGAAACCACAAGAAGTCACAGATTTTATTTTTTTAAAATATTTATGCAGTTTCTCCAGTAGATGGAGTGTGTATGAAATAAGGTGACATCAAGCAGGTGCAAAATCTAGTGGGTTTGTTTTGTTATCATGCATTTTCCATTAAATCACTGGGAATATAATTTCTATCCTATAGTGGCTCTGGCTGCCTATAACCTACTTTATCCCATCAAGTGATGTGTGAATTCATTTTAGTAAAAGCCAGATCCAGGATCTGTGAAAATCACTGAAGAGAATCCTGCTAATATTGGCAGGTTTGGCCCAAGTTCCAGCTGCAATAGAGTAGCTATGTCTGTCACCAGTTTATGTGGAAGTCTGCCCCGTGCTACTGAACAGTGCAGTAAGTCCTACACCACGAGGCAAATCCTGACTGAAGAATCCTAGTAACTGGATCAGAGCTGTCTCCACTTCAGAATAGACTGGGAATTTGCACACTGAGATTAATTTTCATAAATTGAGGCTTTCGTTCATTTCAATTGAAGAAAAGCGGACTTCTTGCTGCAGAACTCCATGTGGGCTGAAAACCTCATCTAGTTTTCACAATGCCAATATTGCAAAGTAGAGGTGGAACAATTCTGAAACTCTATTCTAGTAGCTGCTTTGGTAGTATTTGATGAGAAAGAACTGTAGCTGGAACGCTTTGGCTCTGCCTCTTCCTGCTGCTTCTCCCAAATTTTTGTTTAAGGACTCCATATAAAACTGGATTCTAACTTCCCACACAGGGCTACTCTGAGCTGTCATGAATTGCTGTATCTTCTGTACAGAATTCTCATAAAGATTTGCACTGTGATTGGCTACTTCTTTACTTCACTCAGAAAGCAAGGAAAAGAAACATACCACAAAAAGAAATTAAGTAAAAGTACATCCTAATATTTACAGATGAAAAAGAATTACCAAAACAAGTCAGGACTCAGCCAAAGAAACTTTCCAGGCTATTCATGAAGGGAACCTAGGGAGAGTTTCACATACGGTGCAAGCATCAGGTGGGATTTAAGCTATACCGTTTTTCAGATTTGTCACAAAGAGTGAATCAAAGACCATGCGGGACTTGCATAAAAAGTTCTCTTAAGACTGGGAGGTGGTACTGATACCTGAAGTGATTCTTCTCCTGTTCCAGCTGTATCCTTGAATTCAGACTGGTCCTCAGCTTTCCCTTGCCCCACAAGATAGGTTTTATCTTGTATTTTTTTATTCTCCTAGGGAACATTTTTATAAAATATTCATTTCAATTTCTAATTAAGTGTACTAGCTAAAAAAGAAAATGGAAATATGACTGTGTGTATGTTTGAGCTTTGTTACCTGGAGTACTCCTGCTCTAAATCTCAATTCTTTTATATTGCTGTGGTATTCTTCCCGAATCTTCTGCAATTGTTTCAGGTACTCCTATTAAAGAACAGTAAAGTACAACGCATCTGTATTGGAAATGCATACAGAAATAACACTAGCTATACAAAATATTCTATGGATATCAAACTGTGTATATATGAGAAAAAGGGATCAGTGTCCTTTAATGCCAATAACTCTTCCAAACTTTAACCTTCTTGAAGTTTTCCAGACTATTTCATGCTAGCTTTTCTGTAGAATTAGATCTAAACCAGCTAATTCCAAGAATAACCTAAGGACTGTCTGAGTAATGATGCTGAGGTTGCAATCCAAAAACAGAGGACTGGAAATCAGGAGGACAAAAAATTAAGTAATACTTATTGTATTGCAACCTGCTCCCCAAAATTAAACAAAACCTGGTAATCTTTTCTTGGAGAAACTTCAACATTCCTCTGTTTGGAGCAAAAACTTCAAATTTGGCCAAAAGATAAATTTTGTGCTAAGAATATCTCTGTTACTGTTTATATGAGAGTCTATCCCAACTTGCCTTTGTTACAAATGGACAAATCTGTAAAATTTCATTTTTTGGCATATTTAGTACAGACTTTGTGGAACTAAACAGCAACAGTCTTTGAAGAATGTGTACATGAGGAGTATGTTTTTATTCCAAAGTCTGACCATTATAAAATAGTTAATATATTCATATTTATTCTAGCAATTTTTGTAAATCAAAGATAGAAAGATTAAATGTATTTACATGTAAGAAAGAAGTATCAGTTTGTTTTCTCTGTCACCCAAAAGCAAAACCAGAAAAGTATATTGTTTCTGTATAAAATAATCTCCAAAAGTTATAACATACCAGGGAAGTACTATGCATCATATACGGTTATATGACATTCTAAATGTCATAATATGACTTATGAATAATGAATATACATACACTAATATTGCATGTATGAATATTTTCTCTGATTTATAAATGTGAGGATCTATTGTCCTCCAACATTAGTTTGTTCAGTGATGTAACTCCTCTAATCTCAGTAGAAGTGAAATCAAAATCAAGGCCATGGTTTATGAAATTATTATGGACATCAGCTTTTGTGCAAGTCTTCACCAGTTTATGTAAGATGGAACCAGATGAAAACAGCTTATATTTTCCTAGTGGTCAGATGAAAAAGAATCAATTCTTATGTAAAGAATACTATTATCAAGGAGTGTAAGAAGACAGCTTTAAGCAGCTAAGGAAGATACTTCACTTACCTGTTCTTTCATTTCATTCTTTCTAGCCATGTCCTGCTGATAGTTTTTGAGATGCTCTTCCTTTATTTTCTGCTGCTGTATTTGGTTGTGATATGGGTCAGCAGAGGATGGTCGCAGTCCCTACGGATGTACAATTAAATCCCAAAGCAAAGGAATTTTCATTTAGAATCCTTTCCTTCTGTGTTCACTCAATTCACTCTCCCTGTTCTGCTGAAGAGTTCATTAAGGCAAGTGTATATTTTTGGAGGAAAAATTTAGAGTAGAATTTTACATTGCTACAGTTTTGTATTAGAAAATAAAACCCCAAGATGAGCATGCAGAGCAGATCAATGAATTCGCTAGAGCAGAACTACCTGTAAGTGTTACAGTTTGCTGTTAGAAAGACATCAGCTCGTCTTCTGGATTTTCATTCAGTTTCTTTTACAGATTTTATTCTATGATTTAGTATTTACTTACCAGCTGTTTTTCCACTTTAATCTTGTACTGTTGGGCTTCAAAACACCTTTGAAGGTATTCTGCAGAACTGAGAGAAGAAAGTGATGTTCATGTACTACATTTTATTTCACAGACTCTGCTACCTCCTGCCCAAATAATTCTCTATAGGTTCTATCACAAATGATGAACAGAGCTCTCTTTGTACTACATGAATATATAAATATGGATAAACTATGCATAAGTATGGAGTAACAGTAAAATAACAAAAACAAAATGTATCCACTTCAGGCATTCCTCCTCCTATTAATTCAGTTACATTAACCTTCTGAAGAGTGCAGTGAAATCCTTCTCCACCTTTTATTTGATAAATGATATGTGAAAGCGTTAATGAAAATAAAGGTTTTTTTCCTTAGCCTCAACATGAGTGAAAATTGTCAGAATGGAGGTTGCATATTCAACAATTTTTTGTGTTTCATTTCTCCTCTGTGCCTAATTGCATCAGCCTAACTTTGCATTTATGTAGTTTTGTGGTTTCCAACCATTTACCTCTTTTTTTCTTTTTTCTTTTTTTTTTTTAATAAAATAACCTGCAGTCACTTGTAAGCTCCCTGATTTCTATATATTTCATTTCCTACCTTCAGAACCCACTTGTGCCCCAGGGAGCCAAACTGAATTGACTTTGTCCTTAAATAAAGCACTAGAAACAGCTCAGACAAGATGTTCTAAAGCTGATGATCCTTCACTGAAACATTCTAACCACTGTCATCACTGAATGAAAAGTAATGATTCAGTCAACCTTAAAGGAAGGATCCAAAGGTAGGCAGTATTAAAAATTCCTTACCTTGAGAGATTTCCTCTCTCAAGGTCTTCAAAGCTCATCCATACCTAAAATGGCCAATCATGGAAAGAACAGGCAATCTCTAATAAACAGGTTGTACCGCTAATTTGTAAGAGAAAGGCTTTGAAGTAAACTGCTGGAGAAAGGGTCTTTATATCTGAAACCAAAATGTAAGCTCTGCAGGAAAAAAAAACATTTTCATGGCCTGCCTCCCACTCTGATCCTGGTGGGAAGGAAAGACAGTGTTTATCCTTCATATAATCAGAAAGTCTACAAAAAGCCTGTGTTTTACTTCTTATCCAATAAAATGCTGAGATTTGGGAGACATTTTGACAGTGTGTCCTGGTTTCAGCTGGGATAGAGTTGATTTTCTTCCTAGCAGCTGGTATAGTGTGTAGTTTGGATTTAGAATGAGAATAATGTTGATAACACACTGGTGTTTTAGTTGTTGCCAAGTAGTCAAGGACTTTCAGCTTCTCATAGTGCACTGCCAACAAGAAGGTGGGGGGCCCAAGAAGTTGGATGCGGACACAGCCAGGACAGCTGACCCAAACTGGCCAAAGGGATATTCCATACCTTATGACATCATGCTCAACATATAACCAGTGGCTGGTTGAGAGGTGGTACAGCTCAGGAACTAGCTGAGCATTGGCTCTGAGTGGTGAGCAATTGTGTATCACTGGTTTTGGAAACTCTGTTATAATAGATGATGATGATGATTATTTTCCCTTTTCTGTCCTATTAAACTGTCTTTGTATCAGCCCATGAGTTTTAACTTTTTCTTTTCGATTCTCTCCCCCATCTCACTGGGGGAGGGCAGTGAGCCAACAGCTGTGTGGTTGTTTTGGCTGCCTGCCAGGTTAAACCAGGACACAATGTAATGTCAAACATCAGGACAATAGATTCAGAAGGAATTTCTGGATAGACAGGAACAGGAGTTATATTGTTGTACAATAAACTTATGTAAAAAAAAAATCAAAGACCAAGCAGAGAAGGAATTATACTGAATGAGCCATGTCCAGTGTTACCGAATCAGGAAGACTGATAACTCAAAACATGCATTACAGTTGACCACTAATAAATAGAGTGAGAAAAGTTTACCAGTCAGGTGGTGGGGGTGGAGGTGCAACTTGTCCTTTTAGTCTATAGTATTCCTCAACTCTTTGGCTGATATGAGAAAGATCATAATGTGCATTGGCCTTCCTCTGCAAGTTGTCTAGCTTATCATAGTAATGACCGTAACGGCCATGCACTCTAATACTTCCTGGCCTTTCTGCCATCTTAAATCCGGAGGTCTGTGGCTGAAAATATAATAAAGGATGTTATTTCCCCTATTCTCATTTGTATCAGTACAAGTTTGAATTAATTTCCTGTCCTTCTCCTGAGTCTGAGTTGCATGGTAATACAGGCTGTCTACAGTATAGTTAGTGTAACTTTTCTAAATCCTTTCACATATAACCCAGAAACTTCCTAACTTGTCTTTTCCTTGTCCCCTGTTCCATCAACTCCTGTCATTAAGCAGCAGCCTGTATTGTTGTGTGAGTCAATCAGCATGGGGCTTTGTACTCTGTAGTGTCACTGCCCCAGAATGACTTCATTGTTCTGAAGCCTAAAGCACAGAATTAATTCCAGGAGAGTCTCATTTTGCCATGTGAGAGCAAGGGGAACCTGAGATGTAGTTTTGGGCAGTATACACATTGACTGCTGCCTTCAGGGGAGTGCTGTGCTACTTCATTTCACTATCTCTTTGATGATGTGCCTGTGGGAGCTTGCCTTTCATCTCTCAAAGTCCTTATGGTGATGAAACATGCCTGTATTTCTACTTTGTGACAAGACTGTCTTTTTCCATTTCTCATAAGAACAATGGAGAGAAAGTGATCATCTAGCTGCCACTGCGTGATTTAAGTGCGGCAAGACATTCACAAATTTTTCCATGGTGGAAGACTATATGGTGTATGAGAAAAGTGCTGAATTTTGCTTATTTTCTTACATAAATTAAAAATCATCTAAGTATCCCTTCCATAGATGGGAAATACATTAACTATTCCTTCCTATTTTCCTTCTTAAAAACACTGAAAATAGGCTCATCTACCTATGGCATAGTCCAGATTACTGTAGAATATATATTCATATCTATATAAGAATAAAATTTTCCACTACCAAAAATGGTCCCAAGAGGTAACCTCAAAAAGTATTTATCTTGTCCCTCATTGAAATAGGTTTTACAGTATGACATCCAGAAGTATGGCAATCCTGAGCAATAGGGAGAACAAATCAGGCCATCTAAATAAATGTAAGAGGACTGAGAACTGTGACCCATGAAGCAGGCACGATGGTGACATAGGCCATGAAAAAGGCTGAGGTACTGAATGCCTTCTTTGCCTCAGTCTTTACTAGCAAGACTGGCCTTCAGGAATTTCAGGCCCCTGCGACCAGGGGGGAAGTCTGGAGCAAGGAAGATGTACCCTTGGTGGCAAAGGATCAGGTTAGAGAATGCATAAGCAGACCGGAGTGATGGGATGCACCCACGAGTACTCAGGAAGCTGGCAGTTGTCATTGCAAAGCCACTCTCTGTTATCTTTGATTGGTCATAGCAGTGATTGGGAGGAGGACTGGAGGAAGGCAAATGTCACTCCTATCTTCAAAAAGGGCAGGAAGGAGGACCCAGGGAACTACAGGGTGGTCAGCCTCTCCTTAATGCCTAGCAAGGTCATGGAACAACTAATGCCGGAAACCATTTCCAGGCACATAAAGGACAAGAAAATCATCAGGAGTAGTCAGCATAGATTCACCAAGGGGAAGTTGTGCTTAACCAACCCAATAACCTTCTACAATGAAATGACTGGCTTGGTAGACAAGGGTAGAGCAGTGGATATTGCCTACCAGGCAATTGCCTTCATGGAGGCTTTTGACGCTGTCTGCCGTAAGATCCTCATCGAGAAATGGATAAAGTACGGGCCGGATGAGCAGACAGTGAAGCGGATTGAAAACTGCATGAATGGCTGGACCCAGAGGGTAGTCATCATAGTACAAAGTCTAGTTGGATGCCAGTAACTAGCAGTGCACCCTACGGGTCAGTACTGGTTTCAGTCCCGTTCAACATCTTCATTAATGATCTGGATGATGGGACAGAGTGGGGCAGAGTGCATCCTCAGCCAGTTTGCTGACAACACCAAACTAGAAAGAGTGGCCAATACACCAGAGGGTTTTGCTGCCATCCAAAGGGACCTCGACAGGCTGGAGAAATGGTATGGCAGAAACTTCAACAACGGGAAGTGCAAAGTCCTAAACTGTGCATCAGTATATGCTGGGGGTCACCCAGCCAGAAAGCAGCTTGGCAGAAAAGGACCTGAGGGTCCTGGTGGACACCAAGCTGACCACCAGCCAACAGTATGTCCTTGCTGCAAAGAAGGTGAATGATATCCTGGCCTGCATTACACAAAGTAATGGAGGTCAAGGGAGATGATCCTTCCCCTCTACTCAGCACTGGTGAGGCCACTCCTGGAGTGCTGTGTCCAATTCTGAGGTCCCCAGTACAAGAGAGACAGGGTCATACTGGAAAGAATCCAATGAATCACAAAGATGATTAAGGGGTGAAGCACTTCTCATATAAGGAAAGGCCGAAAGAGCTCGGACTGTTTAGCCTACAGAAGGCTCAGGTGGGATCTTATAAATGTAGATAGATACCTGAAGGGAGGCTGCACAAAGGTTGGAGCCAGGCTCTTTCCAGTGGTACCCAGCAACAGGCCCAGAGGCAATGGGCCCAAACTGAAACACAGGAAGTTCCCTCTGAACATCAGGAAACACCTTTTCACTGTGGGGGTGATCGAGCACTGGCACAGGTCACCTAGAGAGGTTGCAGAGTCTCCATCTTTAGAGATAATCAAAAGCTGTCTGGACATGATCCTGGGCAACTAGCTCTAAATGACCCTGCTTGAGCAGGGGCGTGGACAAGGTGATGTCCAGAGGTCCCTTCCAACCTCAGCCATTCTGTGATTCTGTGAATCCTGAAGCAACACATTCAAAGTATGACACTTGCAACCCTGCAAACTGTTTGCTTCATTTGGATGCTGAAAGAATGTGGGAACTTTCCCAGTGTTAATATTAGAGCATGTCTTGTAGATCAAAACACTGCAGACAAAATTCTGCCTTTGATTACAGCAGTGCACAGTGAAAGGAAAGTTAACCTTCCTAACTTGATCCATCTATGTATTTACACAAATGTAACTATGAGAGCTGGTATTATCCATAGGTAGTGTAAGTGATTGCTTGATGGATGCAGTTCTGGGAACTCCACATTCCGTACCATCAGTTAATCTACCGCAACTGCAATATGCAATTACTGCTGGGAGCTCCCAGATCCTAAATGTGCTTTTCTCTGTGTTCACCAGCACACAAGGCAGTACTATATGCTCTTGAAGATAAAGGTATACAGTGATGCCAAGTAAGAGGCTGGACACAGCATACAGCTGATATCCAGCCTGAGGAAAGAAAGAGGTGGAAAATGAGTGAGGGACACAAATAGTTATGAAGAACTGGGGCTTTCTGCTGTAGGGTTTGATCCCAGTTTGTTGTAATAAGTATCTGAGACAAGGGCAGTGGGTGCTAGTGGGTTTGCCCATGAATGGGCTCTCAGAAGGGTTGAAAAAAGAGAATCAGTGTATTTGCTTCGATAGCAAAAATGTAATCACAGAGTTTATTTGCCTTTTTGCAAATGTAAATGCAAAGCATGCCTGACTCCTTTTGTTACAAAGAACCACACTGAAGCAGCCTAAATTCAGTGTTTCCCACCTAGGCTTTCTAAAACACCTCTTCTGAGGCTTCAGGAGTGCTTACCTGTCTCTACTGGCTTATTGCAGGCACTAAGCTAAATTTAATACATCTTAACAAGGCGTTTTAAAGGGTCTTTTCTAAGAGCAGGAATTTGCCTTCTGAAGCTGATTAAGTATTACAAGAATGCAGATGTGCAGTACCTGAAAAATAGGCTGTTGTCCTCTTGAAGGAGGTTTCCACTCATTTCTTTGAAATAATTCCTGTTTCTTGACAGGCACCACCATTCCAGATTCTAGAGAAACTTGGTCCTGGACTCTCCTTTTTTGAAGTTTATATGCTTTTTAATAATGAAAGATTAAAAGGTTACATTCTGTGCTCTCTACGTGATTAATGATTATGTAGTTGCAAACCATAGTAGGGTGCATACATCTAACACTGACAGGTTGGACTAACACTCCTTACGACCTTTCATTGTCATCACCATCATCACCATACTTCACACTTCCTAGGCATTCTGCCTTTCATTCTTAGAATGACATGCTTTTGAAAATATTATGATTTGTCACACTCATATAAAGTGGATCTTACTCATTAGTTTTGCAAAGCACACTGAATAAAAGGGAGACCTCTATAAACTAGAACGCTGATTTCATGCTAGTACCAAGAACAGAAAACAGGAGGTCTGATTCTTAGGCTCAGATTTCACTGGAGGCTAAGTGTCTACCTGCTCAGTGTTCCCTTTCTAAACCTCGCCCTCAGTATTCTACAAATCACTAGAAAACGTTGTAGTACTTGTGAAATTTGGAAAGAAGGGCTGAAAAGTAAAACATTTACCTTACCAGTTCCCCATGTAGGAGAATAAAAGTACACGCCATTCCAGTTTTGTCAGTCACTATTTTGCAAATACTTTAGCTGCAATAATAAAAAGTAGGGTCCTTCCTAGAATTAAGTCCTTTCTAAACGAATATTAAATCTTTCCTGAGTAATGCCTGTGATAGTATCATGTGTGGGAGATAAAATATATGAAAATCATGCGTATATGACCATAGATATTTTTTAAAATGCCTAAGTGCTTTAGGTGTTCAGGTGCCTCTGTCCAAATGGCATTAGTCCTGAAGGCAGATAAATCTCATTGAAAGCAATTTCCAAAATAACATGGGTTTCTAAACTACTGAAGAACTTTTTTTGGTTAAATACCCCGTCCATAGTGTAGTTAGATAACTATTTTCAAAAATATGTTGAAACTACTTTAATACTTCCAAATATAAATTTAAGGAATAATTATGATATACTGAAGAATACAAAATTAGGAAAAGGTTATGCTGCCAGAAATATGCCAGATATTCAGCAGTTCATACAGAGACACCATTTCATCTTATTCATGTTTTCTAAGAATGTGCGTACGGAATCTGATCTATCAATGAGCACCAAATCCAAGTAGAGTTGTCTCTCACAATTTAATTGAATTTATAATATTTTGTAAAATACATTTTTATTACTTTGTAAAATACGATGGAACACATTTTGCAAGATTTTTGCATTTTTGCACATAGCTTGGCAAAATTAAGGAAGGATGGTTTTCATGTGACAGACCTAAACTGCATCTAGACCAAAGCCTCTCAGTTTTGTAAATTCTATTCATAAAAGAATTAAGATTAATGTTTCAGCACTTTACTATGGTAGCTTTTCTAGCTGAATGTTGCTAATGAGCTGGTCTTAAAGTTGCCTTTTCCTGAACAGACAGCAATGCACTGTCTGGGGAAAATGCTTCTGCTGTTGTTCTCTCCTCCTCTTCTTTTTAATTTTGTGCGAAACTCTCCAAATGTGCAATAAAGACTGGAGAAAGATATAGCTATCATGTATATCATAACTAACAAATGTTAGTGTAGAACTAATGTTAAATAATGTTATTATCATTACCTTGTATCAGCTTGGCTCCAGACTCTGATGCTGAAGGCCTTTTTCTATGTATCACAGTGTGAATGAGTTCTTCCTGTGTTATCCATAAGAAAGAAGGTATCTAATAGAACTGTTTATACTACTTTGATACATATTTTTCTCTCAGCATGCAGCAGTACAGGCACTTACCTCAGGGGGCAAATACCTGAGAACGAGCTTCTGCAAGAAGGGCTTCCTTAGAATAGAATTGATAGATGGTCGATCTCTTGGAGATATTTTAAACAGCTGGGAAATTAATATTCTCAGATCATACGAATAGTTTGGAGACACTGGGTGAAAACGTCCTCTGCAGATCTTCAGCACCAGCTGGTGCAAACTATTGCCCTCAAACTTCATCAATGAAAACAGTAAAAAGAGGACAGTAAGTACTGCTGGTTGGAAATGATGGACTTAGACTTAGACACTGCAATTTGAAAAAAAGGTACTAGCTGACAGAAGCTCTGTGCTATGCAATCTCTTCACAAATCCTTTCTTGCTAACTACAGTTTGCTGTGAAAAATTAATATAACCACTCTCTGATTGTATTTTCTGGTCATGTTCTCCTTGTTTCAGTTGCATGACTTAGGAGGTCCGATGATAGCTTTTGTACCTGGAAGAGTTTTATTCATACTCTGTTGTCATACGGTGACATAGACACATTTTTTCCAGAATGAAACATGATTTATTTTGCCAAAAGCTGTTCAACTGAGACCTGCGTACATACTGTCTTCACAGAGTTCACCTTCAAAACCTCACTTCACAAAACTTAACCTCTGTGTTCTGTGTCTCTCTGGAACCAAGGTATAATCTTGATTTTTAATAACCGACGCCACTCAGATAAATCAGCCCTCCCAGTTCATCAGTCTCTCAATATATTTTTTAGGGCCATAGAGAGGCAAAAATAATTTTGAAAGCAAGTTCTTTCTAAAAGTATCATTTATTTTATGTGGCTATTTTGAAGGTGATGTAACCAAAATTTGACTTAGCTTCACTTGCATTTCCTCTACATCAGCATCTAGTCCCTGCCTTCAAATTAAAAAATGGGCAGCAATACAGAATAAAACACCTAATATTCATAAGAAGTAATATTAATGTTTTCTCACTTGGTGAAATACGAAATTTTCCTCAGCAGTATCCCCTTTCTCTCAGCTCAGCACAATCGCTCTCCCTATTAGTGCTGCTCTGCATTTTCCCACATCCAAGCTCAGCAAAAAGTCAACTTCTGCTGGGCCCAGGAATCTGATCCTTTTCCTGTTGCCAGGATTAGTCTCTGCTGTGTTCCCTTCTCCACGTAATACCCACAGGCTGAGGATTATCCGAGGCTCAGATCAGGCTGAGGACAACACAGCTTCCTGAAGATGCTATCATCTCAGTTATTTTCTGACATGAATGTGCTTGCAAACACAACAAAACCTTTAGGAAAATGCTTCTGGGGACTCAAACTACTTTCTGGGGAAATATGGGTTTCAAACTCTTTATTAAGCATAGATTGGTATTTTTAAATAGAAATGAGTAAAATTGTATGCCTAAGGCGTAACCTTGAAGTTTGGCTTTAATTCTTTCCATTGTTCATCTGTCTTTTGAAAAAGTTTAGTACTTATTAGAGAGCAAATATATGTTTGATGTGTGTATACACGCACGCTCATATGTGTATATATATATATAACTTCTAGCAATACAATATAATACATTGTATTTCAGTATGCACTCAATTTGAAAAATTAAACACTAGCAGTCATTCTTTAATATCAATAAATAAGCTGAAAACAATTCTAGTAGCTGACTACGAATACTATTATTACTACAGTCTTTCCAGGCTGTCCACTATCTTTTTTTAACAATATGATAATGATCTGATTCTACGGTACTTACAGGATGCTTTAGTGCACATAGCTCATAAAGCACACAGCCAAGAGACCAAATATCTCTGTGAACAAAAATTAAAGTTTCAGGGGAAAAAACTGTAATATTTTCATACATGTAATCAGAACCTCTTCTCAGCTCTCAAATTTATTAACATTATTCCATCACAGATTAATATTGGTGCAACTTTGAATTTTTCTTAACATGCACTGAAAAGAACAATTAATAATTTCTTTTTAGTTGTGGTACCAATGTTTCCATGATATCTAACTAGGTACTATCATTATCATTGGAAAAGGCACATGACATAAAGAATGCATGCTTAATCTTTCTAGCAGGATGAAGGGCAAAGCTATGTCTGGCTGACTTGATAGTTAAGGAGACAACAAGGGAGTAAACTTGTGTGAACAGCACCTTAGAGCTGAGATGCTACTTTGGGCTCCAGAATATTTGGTGTTGATCACATCCCACACACACAGAAGGGGGTCTAGGGGTCTAGCCCACTCAACTCCTGACTTTTCAGTGCTTCTCATCTGGCATTTTGTGTTAAGCCTGTGCGAGCCTTTATAATTCTCAGACCTATTTCTCTTTCCTGCAGGTGGCTACTGCAAAGTTCCAGAACTGCCAACCTAGCAGCTTTCACTTTAGTGTATTTTTATAAATCACAAATGACTGTATCAAAAATTCATAAACTTGGAACTGAAAAGATCCATACTTGCATTGGTTATCACACGTTGAAAACACAGAGACAAATTTAGTATTTAATGGAGAACCACATAAAGCAAAGGGAAAAAATAAATTTTACATTTCACGCCACTACTAATAAGAAGTATTAAAAGAGAATGAGAGTACCCTATAAATTTCAAGTACAAGTAATTTTATAAAAACAAAAAATATTATTATATTAAGCCTGTAAATGAATCACAACAAATTCATGATTAGTATGCTCTGGACACTGTCAGTCAAAATACAACCAATGGTGTTGTATGTATAGTATAACATAGTTGTTGTATAATGATTGATGCACCTAATTATTGTACACAATAATACAAAATTTCACAAAGGGTGACGTGAAATTCCTGATGCCCTGCAGAAATACTGATTTAAACCATGATATTACTAAATAAGTTTTCTCATGCCTGCATGCCCTCATGCACAAGCATATGAAGGAAAGACAGAGACTTACGTTTTATTGTTATATGGTCGATTTTCACAAATCTCAGGTGACAGATAATATGGGGTCCCTACACAGGTATGGGCAAACTCCATAGTGCTAATGAAACACAATGAACAAAAAGGCTTACACACTGAAAAACTTTACAAGCAATTGAACTAGAGACTATCTGCCCCAGGTGAAAAGCCCATGGGGGACATTATTTCCGCTCTCCAAATAGTTGAATAATGGAACATCCCAAGAAAAACTAAACTTCTGTGTAAAAATGACCAACTATTTTAATAGTGGAGAGTGTTTGCACTTCAACAAAAAGCACAAGAATTCTCTTTTCCCTACTTTTACCAACATTGTAATCAATATTTGCAAGGAATGTTTATCAGTAGCACAGAATTATGAAAGCTGTCAAAGACACTGCAAAATAACAGAAGTCTCCAACATACTCACTGAAGTAAGAATATGGGAGGTGGCAGTCAGGCACACAAGCCAGAAACAGTGGAAGGAGGAAGTGCTGTGCAGAAACTAAAGGAGGAGTAAATTAATTCTAATCCCATCTTTGGTGCTGACTTGTGAAGGTGTAGCCAAGTAGAACCAGTTGGATTCACTTCACATGCTTTTAGATACTACTCGGTAGATGTCATCAAGAGTCACTGGGAAGTGACTGTGAAGTCAGTGGAGAGAAACAGGTACTCAGAGAGTGTGATTCTTCTTACTCTAAACTAGATGTCAATGAAGTTGTAAGTTACACTCTTTATAAAGTATATGAAGTCTGAGTGCCAGAGGTGCCACAGACACCTAACAGCAAGTAAAAGTATTGGACACTATCTTGTATTTTGGAGAAGGGAGATGAAAATGCCTTTGTATACCCCACAGGAGGAGGAAAAGAGAGCCTGAGAAACTTAATCCACTTTTTACATGAGGAAAATTACTATCAAACTCCAATTATTTTGTTTTATAAGCCTATTAAATACTCTTTAAAATGTCTGTACTTGGACATTGAAATTCTGAGGTTTACTTCCTATCTGCTATGTATTATTCTGCTGCATAGGAGGAACCCCTAAAACAATTATCCCCAGAACACTTCTGAAGGCAGGCACTTTCTGCATAGTTTACATGTGGAGAGTTGAGGCCCTGAGAGTAGGTCTATGCTCCACAAAGGAACACACCACAAAGGTACGAGAGCTGGCAGAGACAGCAGCTACAACACGGACATGGCATATCCCTGGAGATGAGCGGGCTTGGATCAAGGCACTATCCAAACACCCTAATCCAATATACTCCAACTCTCAGCAAGACTTCCTAGCTCTGACACACCACTGAACTTGTAATGTTATGTAGGCCTAAATCCAAAGCCAATCTGATGGGGCTTTGACAAAAATTACATGGGCTGTATGTCCATGTGAAAAATGCATAAAGATACCTAATACATGTACACAGTTAAGTACATCTGAAGAGGATGAGCAAATTGTCTATGTTGGTTAAAGTTATCTGTTCTCTTTACTGATGCTGTGTAGACAGAAATGTGGTTAAACTTACAATGACTTAATCTAGGGATAGGAAAAGTTGTAAAAAGTGAGTTACAGCAGGTAGAGTACAAAGCAATTGAGAAGGACTGATACTAGAGGGACAATCTGCAAAATGATCAACAGAGGAAATTACCTTTCCATATAATACCTAATTAAATTGTGGACCTTCTTTCCCACAATATACTGCCATGGTCAAAGATAATCAAGTGGCTCAAAAAGAGATCAAAGTCAAGCATTGTCCTGTTGTTAGCATGCCCCCTGGCATGTTTTGGCCACACCAAAAAGCACTCTCCTAGACAATACCTGGCCACTATGCAGGACAGGCAAACCTTGTTCCCAAAGTCAGTAAAGAGAAGGCCACACTCTCTGGGAGAACAGAGTTTAGTCCTACAGATGCAAGTCATGCCGTGCCATGCCGTTTACTCTCAGGCCCAGAGAGTGGGTTCTGGCCCCTTTTAAAAAGTTAATATAGGCACAGTCTTGGAGGACATATGCAGAAAATGTATACAATCTCTTTTTTTTTTTTCTAAGTTTTTAACGTTTTTCATTGTCTTTTTTTATGAGGCACCCGAAATTATTATCAATGGCTGCAAGAACAGGACCTGCGCCTCCAGAATCTCTTTATGTCAGTTCGACAGAGAATATGAAAAGTCTGGGGCTTCCCCACCCTATGTCCTAGATATAACAGAAGTCCAGTTACTAGGCTAGATACATCCGTGGTTTCATGCAGGATGGCATGTTTTAGGTTAACAGAAAAAAATGTACTATCAGACCCTTTGTATCTCAGACCTCTTGAACAAGCACAATCCACAAACAATTTGCACATTTAGGTTGCATTCTGAACATTCATAAACAGACCAATTTGGTGTAGGTCACAGACTAATTAAAAAAGGTGCTTACCTGTTCAACTGTCTTGCTATGCCAAAGTCTCCAAGCTTTGCTACCTCTCCATTATTGCTAAGAAAAATGTTCTGCAAATAAAAACAAAACTGGTATGCGAAAACGAAACATGGCAGAGCTTCTTAAGTATATGTTTTACAAGAGAAAATTACTCCCTCTCCAGTACCAGTTTTACTACCTGTGCTTTTACATCTCTATGTAAGATCTTCTTGTCGTGAATATGCTTCAAGCCCAAGGAGATCTGTACAAACCAACTCAGAATCTGCAGTGAAAGTTAAAGGGAACAGATATCTATCAATTTATATGACTCTAATGTCCAATGGGGCATCTTACCGAAATATATAAAATAAAGACAACAATGACATCTAAAATATTTAGAGCATATACAATAGAAAATAATAAGAAATAATATTTTTAAAATTAATGCCATAGACTTTTCCTTTCCTTTTTTAGTGCTATTACAAAACTAAATGGAAACAGATACTTGCTCCACTTTCCCCATCAAGTTTTCACTGACTGTGACAGGATGAGTACTTGAACAAGGACTGAAAGAATCATGTCAAAGGACAGTGTAACTACCAGCCCTTTATTTAGCAATGAGCGAGTTCAAATAACAACTAAGACAAAATTGGGAAGTGTCTTCTTAACCCTCAGTAGTGGAAGTCATACCATCCAGTTATAATATTTGTAGTTTTATTGAATGTGGTCCAGAAAAAAACAGAAAAGAAGGATGAAGGACTGAAGCGTGGTGAAAGAAGGGAGCTATGAAGAAACTTGCATAAGGAAGCACACAGGTTTATCCTTTATCCTTGACCCAGCACAGGTCTTAAACATATATTTAACTTCAAATATACATGTGTTTTATTGAATAAGGGCCTTTGGACTTAATTCAGAAACAAAAGTACAATGCACTTATATGCTTCTCTTTTAGAAAAATTCATGGTCATGAAAGACTTTGATTCAAGTAATAATCTTCTATTTAGTAATGCTTCACATTAAGCAGATGATTTCCTGAATAGGGCTGATGCCACAAATGAGGCTTTCTTAGGCATACATTTGAAAATATAAAGATAACATTATGTTAAATTGTGCACTTTGCTTTCCTTTCTTGATTGGCAGATGTATCTTTAGTTTCTATAATCCATTCTTCTATCTGTACTTCCTTTGCCTTTCTTTGGATATGTATTATTCTGTCTCATTGTCAAGGGGTTTGCATGTGTTGGTTCCCTCTTTTGTGTTTTCATGATCTGTGGTTTCGTCCTCTATTTTCTCTCATGTTCTCTCTACCACTAGTATGTCTCCCAATAGGATCTTAAAATTCATTATTACTGAACCAGTAATTCACTTCCAACTGACTTTTACACTAAGGAGTTCCTCTTTTACTACTAAAGCAAAAAGAAAAGTCACAATATTTCTTTTTTTCCCACTTTCATGCTTTAGAGTGTGTTTCCACTAACAGGTTGGATACTATCTATCTGGTGTCTAGGTAAATTTTAATTGTACCTGCAAAAGTGGAAGACTATCCATGATTTAAAAACCTCATAGTTCAGTACAGTAAGTCCAATATATAAGAGAAAATCTCCTTCAGAAAGCTAAGAGTTAGCAAAAAAATAAAGGAGTAAGGAGTAGTGGGAGATTCTGTTAATTGCACTACCTATCATACTCCCTGATTTACAAAATAAAATATACGTGAGCATGCTCCAAAAGCAGTCAGAATTACGGGCTTGTTTCTCTGTGCTGCTTTAACAATTTAAATGGCATCAGAGAAGTCTTGGCCCAAATGAAATGAATGAGAGATTTACCACTGGCTTCAGTATAAAGCAGGATATGCCATGATGCAAACAGCATAAATGAATGAAAAACTCATATAATATATCCCCCAATAATTCTAAACCACCATTTAAGAAAGTCTTTATGGCTTAGTAGGCATACTACTAATACAAAGAAAAAGCACATCCACAATGGAAGGAGCAATGGGAGGGAGGAAGGGGGGATAAAAATGGCATCAAAATACTGTAATGGATTAAAGATCTTAAAGCAGTGTAAAAAGCAAACTGAACTCCCATTAAAATTACTGAAGTTTCTTTAAAATGTTCAATTATTTTAACAGGTCAGAAAAGAAACAGTAGTTAGTACTGGATAATTCAAACCACGTGTTTTACATAATATGTCCTTTCCTCTAAAGATAACTTCTTTCACCTGGTCTTCATGAAACAGTACTCCATGCTGCATATTTATCCGCTGCATTAAATCTCCACCATCACAGTATTCCATCACAATATATAGCTTGCTCTTTTCTGAAAAGAAAAGTATGATTTTTCCTCTGTTCCTTCATTACTCATTAATACAGCAATAAATCCTTTTTATTTTATACGGTCCTTCTTTCAAAAGGGAGTAGTTAATCCTCTACCTACTCCTCCATTTCAGAGTAACTAAGAAAAAATGGATATTTCCAGTGAAACCTGATGCAAAACTAAGACGTGAAAATATATTTAAATGGAGATTCACAACAATATTAAATGCATGAGAAAACCCTCAAGAGACCACACTGATAAAAGACAGATGTTCTTACAGGCAATGCTTAGCAGAATGCTTCATAGTTGGGATTGTTCCCCAATAATAACTAAGTATACAGTTAGGCATAGGGAAAAGGTTAAAAGTAGACAGTGTCCAAACAGTAGAAATAAACAGCTTAATACAGAACCTCATCCTATTCTTACCTCTCTGGGGTCCAGAAGACTACCAGATTTCTATTTTCTTTAAAACATTTACAGTCCTGATCATACAGAAAACAATTTGAACACAAGCTACAACTACAGTGTTCATTACATATGGCATTGCTTATGACAGATATCAGCAGGGAAAATAAATATAGGGAATTAGCTTTTCTGGAGAACAGACTTCCTTCTATCTCTCTGGGTCCTGAAGAATTCCATATCCTTAAGTGATACCTCAAAATGTGGCTCAAGACAGAAGGCCAAGAGGACCTATTTCTTGCTATATTCAAAACCTCTCTTCTTCTATTGAACTCATAGAGAAGTCTCATTAAACTCTGGGCTCCTACTGAAGATCGAGACTAAAGTTCAACTTGAGCAAAGCAGACACCCCAGGATCTAGCGTTCATTCCACAGTACCTTAGGTCTCACCCACACAAAAGAGGGCAAGTGATGACTGAATTTGATACCTCATGTTCATTTTTAAGAGTTGGGTCCTGTCCCCACTGGTAAGGGATTGGGGACAGGCTTAAGGTTAAGCAATATTATCAAGGTGGGTTTGGCTGCCTTCCAATCCTATAATCACAAATAAAACAAAAACGGTAAAAGTAAACCTTGCATTGAAGCATAGAAGGTTACAATATTTGCATGCTTCATCTTGGCCAGAAGAATGACTTCTTCCTGAGAGGCTTCTTTTTCTTTCATAGGCATCTACGAAGAATTAAGAAACTATATGCTAGCAATGATACATTTAACTCTTTTCAAAAATAGTTATATTGTTATCAAACCATTCCCGCAAATACAAAAAGACTGTGTACCAAGGTGATGCAGAGATATTATAAAATATGATATATATATAATGTAAAATATCAATTTGCAGTGTACGCTTGGAAATATATTGGAATGTTACCAAAAAAAATTATGACATTTTACAAATAGGCAAATGTACACCTTTAAACTTTTGACACAGATGCTATTGCTAAGGTAGCTGATGAATAGAGGTAAACTCTAAAGTTAAACTTCTCTTAAGTATTTGAAGAATAAGGTTCTAAATGATTCTGTATTCTTAATAAGGATGATCTCAAAAGAATAAAGTAAAAAGCAAAAAAGTTCTTTGCTTTAGTAGCATCATGAGTTCTTGCAACATTTTGGACAAACTCTTTGCCTTGTTACATTAAATGGAAAACTTTTATTTGGTTCATTGTGATTACACTTTCATCAATATTCTTAAAAAATCATGTCTCTGAGTATCCATCCATCAAAATGTCCTCTTGCATTTGTAAAAAGTTTCTGTCATGGTTTAACCCCAGACAGTAACTCAGCACCACATAGCTGCTCACTCATCCCTCCCCTGCCAAGGGGATGGGGAGGAAAGTAAGAAAAAAAACAACTCGTGGGTTGAAATAAAAACAGTTTAATAGGACAGAAAAGGAAGACAATAATAACAACAACAACAATATTAATAAAAGTTATGCACAAATGCAATTACTCACCCCATGTGGAAGAAAAAAAACCCAACCCAATGCCTAGTCTGTTTCCAAGCAGCGATCCCACCTCCCGGCTCGCTTCCCGTTATATGCCGAGCATGACACTCTATGGTGGGGAATGTCCCTTTGGCCACGCTGGGTCAGCTGTCCTGGCTGTGCTCTCCCAGCTCCCTGTGCACCTGGCAGGGCCTGGGGAGCCGGAAAGTCCTCGACTGAGTGTAGACACTACAACTACCCAGCAACAACTAAAACATCAGTGTGTTTTCAACATTATTCTCATCCTAAATGAAAAACATGGCACTATATTGGCTACTAGAAAGAAAATTAACTCTATCCCAGCCAAAATGAGAACAGTTTCTTACGCTCATTCTTAAGAAATAATTTTGAAATTTAATCCTCAAAGATTTAAAAACCAGAAAGTTAATGAAACACACTCTACCATATAACAAAAATCTTAGGGCTTCAAAGTAGTAATTTTCTGTATCCAGCTTTTGATTTTTGAACAAGTGGGATCCACAATAATATTTTATTAACTTTCATTTTTCTATTTTGCATGCATCAAAATCTAAGATTAGAAATGCATGGGTTTTATTGGTCATAAGCACAGAGATAAACTTTATTTTTTTATTTAGTCATCACTAGCATATCAATTTTTCTGGGTTTGAATATGGAAGTTATACAGCTCTTTCTAGAACTGATGTATAAAAATTCATTCTCCTATTATAATTCTCTAATATATTAGAAATTGCCTAATGTGGCCCAGAATAGCAAAAGACCTGTCAAAGGCAGGTAGAGACTCATTCAAATTGACTGTTGAAACCCCCGTACCGAAATTACAGGGAGCGTCTTTCTTCAACTAGCTATAGGAGTGGTATTCCTCCCATACCTGAGCTAGTGACCCTAACCAGCCTCTGCAGTCAACAGAAAGAAAGTGCTTTTATGGCCCAGTTCAGCTCATTCTAAAATAGAAGTCTAAAATGCACATGATCCACAGCTTCCTAAAAATACGTATTACCCTTGTTCTCCTAGAAAGGGAGCCTAGCCAAGCAGCTCAGATGCTGACAGCTACAGAATGGAAATTTAAAATTAGAGGAGATGAATCAAACTGCCATAAACATAAATAAGAATTGGAAAGACTCTGTTGTGAATTACTCGAGTCTGAAAATATAGATGTGGAAAAAAAAAAAGGAAATGCAAAAATTTAGAGAAATGTATCACAAAATTGTGATTTGTTATTTCAGTGGCAATAGTTTCATTGTAGTTGAATCATCTATTATAAAATTGAATTAGGTAGTGTCATGCATTTTAGGTAGAAGTTTTGAAAAGAACAAAAATGCAGTAACAAGTAACACGGTATCAAAATAAGTATTTCATCTACACTTGTAAAATTCCTAAACTAGCAAAGAGTGCAGTCTTTGGAAAGTCTATATAATTGAGATGGAACTAACAAAGAAGACAAAACATAACCCAAGTTCATACCCTAGCTAAGCGCAATTAGCACAATCAGGTAAATAACTACTGTTATCATCCAGGTTTTGTTGTTTTACCTTAGTTAAATCAATCTCTTTGATAACACACTGCTCATTATCCACTTTTCCTTTTGCCAAGAATATTTTGCCAAAAGATCCCTCTCCAATTTCTTTAATGATTTCATATTTATCCATGATGTCTTCGTCTTAAAGCAGTGTCTAAAATAAAAAAGTCCTCAAATTAGGTTGCACGCAGTCAGTGCTGTAACATCTCAGTTTGTACTACAAACCCAATACAACACTACCTTTTAAGACTGTAATTTTTATCACTTTTTTATCACATTGTATCGCATTTTTATTACTGCTGCTGATTCTTCCTCAAAATGTCATCTCCTGGAAGTCTGCAAATTATTGTGGATCTGAACTTTCAAGCTTACGAGTGTCTCATAAAGAAAAGCTTGAAGGTTAGTCCTAGTACATCTTAAAGTTAAAACATGAGAAGGCAGTAGAAAGTACTATGTAAGATTAAATGATTTTGGAAAGTCTGACTCGTTATTTCCTGAAGTTAACAATACTGCAAACTTGCTCTTTTAATGGAAAAAATAATGTATTTCATGCTGATTTAGTTTATACTAATGTGATCTAATGTTAGCAACAACAACAACAAAAAAAGCCACTGCATTTTGCAGGAGACCACAGATGAGTGCACCATCAGGCACGGGCCGTCATCGGGAAACCTCTGGCATAAACAGTAATGTCACTGGGTACCTGCAATGTATCCATACGCCACCTTAGATGGCTAAGTATGAGCAAACACTATAAAACTATTCATATTAGTTGACCTGAGTTTTAGCAAGGGTGATTTACTAAGATACTAGTCTTTTCCTGTCAGGAGGGACAGATGAGCTCTGTTAACAGGCTACCTCGGGAGCCTGGGCAAGCTCCAAGCCAAGAGGTTTCTGAGGACAGCACAGGCAGGGTGACCTTCAGGCATTAATAACGCAGGTGTCTGGGTCAAAGCCAGCTCCTGTTCATAGTCCCTGGTGAGAAGCTGCCGCTCGGGACTTGCCCC